AGGGGCACTACCTATGACCACTAGATCGGTATTCTTATCCATTATCAATTCCGTACCTCCGTAGATAATGCATGTTTAAATGTCAAGTAAACCGTCAACTGTGAAAGCCAGTGCTTCTCGTAAAAGTCCATTAATAGGACCCCACTGTAACCAAAAAAAACTTAATCAGGGCTTTTATACTAAAGAGGGAAAAGAAACGCAATGTTTACATTTTTTACTCAATAGCTGGAAATTATGTTGGTACTATTTACTTGTTAGGATATTTTGCATACCGTGCACTTAAATCGATGTTCATAAAAAGTATCATGCCACGAAGGGAAACGTTTAATAGCCTAGAACACGGGTTTGTCAACATATTTTGTAATTGCATACGATGAATAAAACTGCAACATAAGGTTGCTGTAAGGTTGTTGCTTTTTTCTACCAAAATCGTCTATCATTTCGTCAGAGATGCAATGATGGTGTTTCCAAATCCTGCACTTAATTGCCCTGCTTTATATATACATAGAAGCAGAACAAAAGATTTGGAAATAGTGATATTTGCTCTGTATATGATGTACACAGTCTTTTCTTAACACGAGAACCCTTGACCCTTGGGATTTTTGAAAGGTACCTTATTCATTCTGATTATGTACATAGTTTATCTGCTAAATATTGTTATCATAAAGCAGATATTTTCAACGCATTTATGTATTTTAACTGTGTTGACAGTGATTGCCACCAGACACAACGTGAACCGATGGAAGAAAAATACGAAATTCTTTGTGTTCTGTAGATTTGCAAAAAGATTATATTTATAAAAATTTTGATTTTCATCTTAGAGACGACTGGGGGTCAGAAACAATTTTTTTTCGTATCCAAGTGAAACAGAATTTTACATTATATTAGACAAGGTAAATTATTCTGCATTATACATGTTTCCACAGTGGGATTCGAACCCGCGACGTAAGGATCAACTCCTTACTTCGCGACACTGGAGCAGACGCCCAAGCCACTGCGTCACGCGGGCGACTCTTTGTTCGATAAAATGACCTTATTTTTTTACACAAATTTCTAGGACCATTATCTTCAATCTGAAATATCTACAGATGTTTCTGTCCTCCGATTCTGACATAAAGCACACGGCGGGTGTGACCGACGTACAGGGTATACCTATTCCTTTTTGGCATCTGATCCAACATCTATGTTTTAGAAGATCACGGGTTTGTTCTGCCGTAATTTGTATTATTTCAATGGTTGTGTCATGCTACGGAAGCCGGTATGTGCCAGGTAGAAAGATATTTTATCTGGCGGCCACCACCTTAATAACTGGTTGCCACTAGAAGCGGGCGCCAGATTTGTATCCAATATTAACCTCCTGTCTGCCGCCAGAAAATTGTATGGCGGTTTTCAGATAAATTATCTGATGGCTGTCATATCTTTTTATCTGGCGGTCGCCAGATTATAGTTTTAAGATAAAATATTTTTTCTACTTGGCACAAATCGGCTCCACTGCTACTGTTCGTTAGCTTTATACTTGATTCTACAGAAAAAAACCTCTTCTAGAAGTAAGTACTTAAGTGTAGGTATTAATAATTGTTAATCTTGGCATGCTACGGAAGCCCGTTGAACTGGACTCAACGGGCTTTCGTAGCATGCACAGTAACAAGCAAATATTCTGGGGTTGTTGCATACGACCTACATATTTAAAATGACAGATTATTTTACAAATTTTTGTAGAAGTTGACTCCCAAAGTGTTATCCTGGGTCACAAACCAGATTCCGATGCTGCATCTGACTTTCATTTCTTGGAAGATTAATAAGGTAAGTTTCATTAAGTTTTATGTACATATAACTAATTTACCTTGGAAAATTAGTCCAATGTTGGTTAAACTAAAGGGGATATAGGTTTTCTTCTCTCCTACACGTCTTTCTGTCCGTCCATCTTTCTGTTCCTCTATCTGTTAGTCTGTCACACTTAGTCTCCCAATCTTTTTACCGTCTTCCTTGGAAGACGGTATTATATAGTTGAAGTTTTTTACAGTCTTCGGACTATGTACTTCCTCTCTTTCGTGATTGGTAGAAATTGCATGATGAGAAAATTTTCTATTATTTCATTGGTTGAAATGCTGTTCAAGGCAAGGGAGATAACTTTCTGATGGTCTAATTTTCGTACGACTTAACAATTCTTCAATATTTGCAATCTTAAAAAAATGACAAAACGAACAACAAAATGAACTGTAATTAATTCTAAATAACAATATTTTTAATAGCAATTACTAAAAAGGTCTCTTTATTTTCATGAAGTTGCAAATAAGATTTGATTTTTATTGCTTGCTGACTTTACAATTTGCATTTATTCTTTTCCCCTTATTTGTTTGAAGAAGGAAACATTTAACGGAATCGGCTGGGGTTTGCCGAAAGTCTCGGTCAGTTTACAGAGATGACCGAGCGACAACCGCGGAAGGGCTAATACCAGTAAAAAGCTAATGTACAAAAAATTCAAAAGAATTATACAAGTTGAAAAATGTAGATCAGTTTACTGTTTAAGGTTGTTGCTAAAGACGGTAAGCTTTTTTAAAAAGCTCTACTTGTTCTAATTAATGCTTGTCGATATTGAGCCGATTTCTGGTATATAAATAATCTTGATGAGAGTTTATTTTTCGTTCCGTTTCTTTTTTTTCACGAAATTCCGGTACTCTTCATTTTTAAGGGCATTTTTTTCTCAAAACATGCAGATATTTAATTGATTTTTTTGTATTGATTTTACCATAAAACGCTTCAATGAAGTTTTGGTGGAACTGAGGAATTTTCATTCATGAAAACATTTATCGAGAAGAGCTACATAATTATTTGTTTACGCATGTTTTGATACTATAGTAACAATAACATTAAAAACATATTTTCTTTTCACAAAATAATTTTCTTTCTTTTTAAGTCTTGGAACCATTTTAGCTCACCTGGACGAAATCGAGACGAGGCGATGCTAAACCCCAGCGTGGCGTCACGGGTACAAGTTTAGGCGTTAGTCCATTCCCATGTAACTATAATTTCTACCTGAGCTAAATTTGCATGGATGATGCATCAGGAGATCGACATTATCAAGCTTGCTTCGCCGGATGCTGGATCTGACTTACATTTTCCAGAAGAATCACCAGGTTAACGTCTTAGGAGCAGGTCCATTCCCAAGTAACTATAAACCCTAACTGAGCCCAACTTGTATGGGTGGTCTGTACTTAGGGAATAAAATAAATCGGCTTCGGATGCTTGATTTGCCCTGTATTTACCAGTTGAGTGAGTTTTATCCATACTTTAACCAAAATAGCATAGAAGATAAATCTAAGGGTAAACATTGCAGGTTATGCTGGTTATTTAAAATTTAATGTTTGAATCAACTTTCTGAATGTCTAAAAAAAAAAATAAACGTTGGTTGAAATCTAGATGTTTGAAATAAGTTTCCACATATCATAATACGGAAATGTACTGAACTTTAGATTGTTCAGTTTAAACTTTTTGACAAATGATAGATAATAAACTCAAAACCTTGAAATTAACTTTTGAATATTTCAGATAAAAATATAAAAAAAACCGGACATTTTAAAACCTGTTTTGAGATTTACAAACTATGTTCTTGAAATACAATATTCAATATACGTGGGTAATCAGTTTGAGTTTTTGAAATTAAGAAACTTGAAATAAAGTATTAAAATTCAAAACCTCATGTCAAAAATTTAAAAATAAGTGTCACACGGAACCATGTAGATGCATCATTCATGAATAAAAAAAATTTGCATGATCAGTAATTTTGAAAGATGTTATAATATAATTTACTTTACTTTGAAATTCGAATGCTTTGAAGCGTACTTCTGGAATATTAAAAAGAGAAATGGTTGCGTAATAATGATACCTAGCTTTTTAAAAATTAATGAAATCAGTAGTTTGTTGAAGTTCAATTTTAAGAGCTCGCGTGATAGTTGTTAATGAGAAAATACACAGGGACCATAATCAGCCATGTTTGAAATTTATTAGTGTTTCGACCGTTAAACAAAATGCAGATAATCAACACTGGGTAAACATTTCAGGAAAGTGACTGCAAATTTCCGTAACACAGCTTAAATATTTGATGAATATTGCTGGGTTTCGAATCTCGCGTAATATGTGTCAATCGATTTTACTTGGTAGGTGCCACATTTCAAATCCCGAGAAATCTACACAAAAGTTCACCCAGCGAATTGTGGGGAAAATCGTACTTAAAATTCCAAACAATTGAATTATGTGTTCTTGACAATAAGACGTACTCAAGAGTACTTTTGTATTCGGTAACATTTCAATCTTTTTCAGTACGATTAGCTTCCAGCTTTTTAAAAATGTTAATGATAAAGACAATAAATCTTACTGTTTAAGAAACAATCTGTTTTGTGTAATATGAGAAAGTCAGGAATACCACAGTATTTTCTCGTGTTGTACTAAAGTAGCTCAGCTACTGAACACTCTCCAATTAATTTTATATAAAAAATTCTAGTGATTAAGAGTAAGACTAGTACTTAAATTCATTTAAGTTTTTATATAAGTTTATGATTGAATTAAATAAGTTAATAAGTTGACTTTTGCCTCAAGTTTGTACTTTTATGTGGCTTGTAGTAATTTTTTAATTAAAAAAAGGCCACTTTTTCTATGTATATTAAACAACAACAACCAACAATGATGAAAGCGACTTCCAAAGGACTGTATTTACAAAGGGCATTTTTTTTTACTTGAAAAATATGTGATCTTAGTATTCAACAAAAAATTTCATTTCTCATAAATAATCGTATTTCGAAAACATTTGATTTCAGACATTTTGCAACATTTGTACAACTAATGTAGCCTAGTCCAGGAATCAGTCTTATAATCGTCATCTATTGTTATTTATTACATTTTAAATCTTACATTCTTCTAAACTTATCAACGATTAGATCAGATTTGGGGGATTGATGTTCGTTTCTTGAGAAGAATTATTTGAAGTGACCTTTGACGTACAGTCATAGCTCAATGTCACTTCTCACATGACTTATGTGCACTCTTTTTATGGGAGGGGAAACGTGCTCGTCAGAGGGATCATCACAGAAGATGTGCTTTGACGTTTGATTTGCATATTTACTCTTGGGTAATCCTAGGGTGTAGTTTGTGCCAAAGAAGACAAAAATGCTGACAACAAAGATCTCATACTGATAAAAGCTTCCAAATTGGATTCTGACGTAGGTATTCCATTCGAAGTTACATTTTACAAACAAGCAGCTGTAGGTGGAATATGTGTCAGATTAGAAAAAAGCGAAAAAATATATCTATAGACATAGATTTTAATGACCATGATATTTGATGTACAAAATTAGTTCAAGGTTACTGCAAATCCGTTATCGAACACGTCTGAAAGAAGTTTAATCCAAATTGGATCAGTGGGGAGAGAAATTGATCTCCTGATATTAATAATAATAAAAAAAAGATTTGGTTATTTTGTTCAGTTTGGAGAAAAAACTTTACACACTTCACATTTTGTAGCCCTGGGTCCTCTAACGAGGAAGATTTGTACCCAGATTGGGCCAAAGGGCGTGAAGAAGCAAGTTCTCAATCATAACTGCTTTTCATTTTGATAATTTTACTTGTGTAAAATGAACCAGATGATCAAAAACTTATAATGTAATATCCATCCTTGGACAAAGCATTTTCTTGAGTGTGTACCGGAATCGTCCGTCAAAAAGTCCATATATAACTGGATTAATGACGTGATTGATAATATATATCCGGCGGATTATAAGAAAGGTAACGCTTTCGCCGTATGTCAGATCACTCCAAAAATCGTGGTCCCGTGTTTCCATGATGATAAATATCCACGGAGGAATATACGTTACAATAGCAACGAACGATATAATGATGAACATTATTGTATACCGATGAGCTGTACACGTGTTTTTATTGCTGTAAATAGAGTCTACATTTGACGCTTTCCGATCCTTATTAAAAGATGCTATACTCTGGTTTTTGTTCTTACTAAAAGATGGTGCACTTCGATTTCTACTTTGACTAAAAGACGTAATACTTTGGTTTCTATGTTTGCTGAAACAAGGAACACTTTGATTTCTCTTGTTACTGAGTGACGCTACGCTCTGACTTCTGAGTTTCCTCGTCACAATATCCGGATTCTCTGCTCTCTCTACACAGCTGTTGTCCGTGTTTTTCTCCAACAGTTCTTTTACCTGTGCGTCATTTTCCTGTACAGTATGGAGTTCCGCTGCCTTGGTGGGAAGATCCACGGGATCACATATAAATACCGGAGCGTCCTCCGCGGAAGACTCCGTGTTATCCGGCGGATCTCTGTCATTGTGATCCATCCCATAATGCTGAGGACAAGCATCAATGCTCAATGACTTTTTCGTTGTGCGTCTTGACATTGTTTGAGTACTTGCGTTACACACGAGAATTTGAAGTGGTTCCTGGCTGTAGTTTTCTTTCTTGAGTTCTGTTGAATTTTCTATCACTGGTTGATTTTCCTTCATTTTCTCTTCATCCTTTTTACAAATTTCAGCACTCTCTCTAGAGATAAAACTCTCGTCTTCTGAAGGGCAGTGTACTGCTGCATTGGAGTTCTTTGAAATTGAAAAATTACGTTTATAACTCTTCATACTTTTAAAGCTGTAGAAAACCCTCTTGCCGACCAAGAAGTAAAGATAAGTCATTATACCAACGGCTATACACTCTAATATCAAGATAATGTAGTTGTAGATAGCTATATCGCCATGTTTACCTGTTCCCACGCCACAATTAACGCCCGTGATGTTGGCTGTGTGTGCTGGGTGATTTCCGTACAAAAATATGACGGGAACAGACAAGAGTCCGGCACAGCACACAGTCACCGCAACACAGCAGTACTTGTGTCTCCCAGTCATCTGCCAGCCGAACGGCCGACAGATCTTCTGATAGCGCTGTACAGAGATCACAAGTAAAAGAAGTAAAGAACTAATGATGGTCAAGGAGGTGCTGAAAAATAAGAGTTTACAAAGAACTTCACTTGGAAACATGACTGGGAACAGGTTCCTAGTCAAGGAGAGCGAGGTGGATGTGAGACACCCAGTCAGGTCTACGACAGCCAGTACGGGGATAAAGAACCGGTCCTCGTTTTGGCCCCGCATCTTGAATCTGTACATAGAAATCACCAATAAATTCCCAAGCACCCCGATCACAAGATAGCAGCACTGTAAAATCGTGCTGGCCGTAAATTTTTGCGACAAGGAAGTGTTCCATTGTTCTAGTGACATGGTATCCATACTACAGAAGAGCGTACCTTTCACTCAGATTACTGTAATGTCACAATAGTCCAATGGTTTTCAGAAGGTATGGTCAACAATGAAGTCTCTGGGGAAATAACCACTAACATCATTCCTGAAAGCTACATAGCTCACAAATTAATAACGCACGGCAACAACTGTACGACGTATAAGAATTAAATCTCTACTTTCCTAATGAGATAATTTCCGGAGTTTTTTCATGCAGCCTAACATTTATCAAGTCAATGCTGCTGAAGTAATGAAAGCTGTAGAAACAGATCAATGTCAGGTGCATACTGCTCTGTCAAAGAGACACTGCAACACGGGCATCAATTTGACAGCGTGCCACCATGACAACGGAATGTCAGCGCGAGAAATCACAGTCAAAGGGTGGATAATGATTTCAAAAAGTCCATTCCTCAACGCCGATAGTTATGATTTGATAGACGAACAGTTGTCTGGTACTGAATACAATGGATCAATACATTACAAAAATTTAAAATCCGTTGAGAATTTATTAAGGCTTATTGTGTTCTGAGTGTCCATCAATATTTACACATTGTGAAGAGAGGGAGAGAGAGAGAGAGCATGTTTAAATTGGAAACTTGTGAACGAGCAAACCATGCAAAAACAATCTATTGCTATTATATAATTTCCCAATATTATTTGATATTAAGGTTAACACTTACTTTATAATTTTTGGAACATTTACATTCAAGATATGAACTACAGTTATAAGTATAAACAAGTGCATTATTCCAGTTATATATGTACAATTTATCCAATAATATAATCTATCTTAAGGATTCAAAATATCTAACTGATACACATTTTTTCTGTATTTCTACTGCAGTGTTTCATTGTCATCTCCCTCGGGAGATGACACATTAAGATTGTATGCCGGAAGTGAAGTCCTAGTGTAAGCCTCCATTAATCTTTCGGGAGTCCTCGATGTTTTACAGAGTTCCAAGTAGCCTGTAAACTGGTTTTCTTTTAGAAGAACTAGCTTAGGAGTGTGTGATCTACTTTCGGTTTAGGCCTATTTGAAAGCCAAGGAAAATTTAGAAAAGAAGTACGATGCTTATAAATATCTATAGTTCCGGTGTGTCGTATATATATTTATCCTCAGTACTATGCCTTATTAAATGGGTAAGCCACGCAAGGAGAATTGACAATGACGTGATTTCTATATATAAATATGTTGACGCGAAGGGAAAACTGGTTCTCGCACAAAAGAACAAGCTTACAATTAGATTCTGCAAAAAATTAATGAAGAGTGGTCAACGCTAATCTTATGTTAATTTTTTAGTCTGTAATTGGATTTATTAAATTAATTCCTGTCAAACTTTAATGATTAGCTGCTTTTAAATGAATAATTATTGTTGATAATTCCGTATTGTGTTAAGAAAATATAGTTCAAGGAAAGTATTTGAATTTAAGTAAATTGTAAACACCCAGAAGCACAAAGACCGCTAGAATGAAATTTCACCAAATATCGCCTTGGGTGCTCTCGCAGACGTCCATGCTTTCCATATACCGGTATATACTGCGGCCAAAAGAAACTGCGTACTTTACTGTGGAGTTTGCTGAATATAAGTCATTTGGGAACTTCAGGTGTTTCAATCCATATATTCATTGCATTAAAATATTTCCCTTTCTGTTTTATTTCTTTGACATTATTGATACCAAAGAGATGACATTTCAGGCTTTCTGGAAAGCCAAACTTGTTATAATATACTTTTATTTGGATCGGTATTTTGTCTAAAAACTCAAAAGGGCATAGTTTATAATCCGGAAAACATTTTTTTCTGTTTTGTTGTAAGAATATATCGTCATTGAATTTAGTTGAAAATATAAAAAAAGAATCAAATATTTTACGACGCGGTAGATGTATTTTAGTGTTCTCGGCCGGAGGGCTGATGATGTGTGTTGAATATTCTGATATAATCTAAATACCATTTTTTTTTTGACTAGCTGACTGCGAAATATCACATTATCACACCTTTAATCATCAAAGGTAAATTATATCATTCAGTAGTTTGATTCTTTAATTAAGATGAAACACCTTCTGCTTTAATGTTTATTATTTTATTTACATCTCTATAGTATTGATTTTCATCATTACATTCAAATGGGAGTATAAAGTACATGTATGAAGTTCACTTTTTCAATTTAATTAATTTAATTTAATTGCATGTATGTCTTATAACATATGAAGAAAATGTGACACCGTGACGAGAAAAAGTCAATATTTATAATCAGAACAAAAACTTAAAAAAAAAAATTATTAAAACCGTTGATGTTGTTTGACAAGTCCCGAAGTGCACATGTACATGATGTTTTACTTACAGTTAAAACAAATCGTTATTTGTGTTATGATCAAAGGCGTTTGTTAAATACTCCAGGTCGAGCCCCACCTCAATAAATGCCGATACCAGGACTCGGAATGTTGGTTTGAACTCTGAGTACAAGTACCACTGTAACAAGACGTCCCGGATATTTAACGTGGGGTCACGTTCTATTGGTCTCTGTAGAATAGACGGGATGTCTTGTGAAGAAATATCAAGCTCGACAGCGAGTGGAAAAATGTCGGTGTTGATATTTAATCCAATGGCTGCCAGCTCTCGTCTGCTCACACTTCGATCTAGGTATTCCTCCGAGATAAAACCTAAAACAAAGGACAACCCCCAGTCTCGTTATAGAATCTTAACTTTCTAAATCTATTGATTAAAAACTTGTGTGCCCCTTTAATAGAACGAAATAAGTCAAACTGATTAAATGCCTCCAGGAATCATTTTATATGAAATTCAATCAAACGTACTATGATTAAACAATCAATAGCATTTCTAATCTGATTTTCTCAAGAGCATTGTTATACATAGTAATTTCAAATTATTGTAAACATGTTATTATTATGCCCCGCCATGAATATGGCCGGGGCATACATTGTTTGTCATGTCCGTCTTCCGTCCTTCTGTCCTTCCGTCACACTTTGCGTTTAGCTCTGTTCAAAGCTAAGTTTCAAAGAAACTATCCAAGATATTTTCATCAAACTTCATATGCTGATAGATATTGATGAGAGCTATGCAACTGCATCAACATTTTTTCTATATATTCGATCAATGCATACTATCTTTGCAAGATATATAACTGTATTCAGCGGCAGCTTGGCCTAATTACATCATGATAAGTTTTCTTATTGTTCATGATAAGAGTAAAGTTGTAGTGTTAAAGAAATCAAAAATAACGCTATCAGTTTTAAACATACCATTCAAGATAACAGAGAATAATTAGTTATCAAACTTTACATGTTGATGCAATTACTTTTGTTCTTAAAGAAAAAATTAATCATTCTGTGTGTGTATTATTAAATGATTTTCAATCCCTGCACACTGTAAACTGTAGGGTATGTGTGGCCAACACTACCAGACATACCATTATATATAGCTTGAATAATGTAAGATTTCTGGAATATATTAGTATATTTCAGTTATTTTCAAAACAAAAAAGGTTTTCCACATTTACCACAAGATGAGTGCAAATGTTACCTATATAAAGTAAAGTTTTTTTTTATGATATGATCTAATTAAGAAAAGAAAAGTTTTGTCTGACACCGTAACTTCTCAAAACGTGTTTCTCCGAGCTCGGGATGCGTCAGCTCCATTGCACGTGTGTAGAAAGGCTATAATGCAGGCCTATGTGTACTGTTTGTTAGACCAAACTTGCATGGATGATGTTAAACATATTAAATCTAACAGTCGAATATCTTTGGATATGGGGTAACCCATATCTATTCTTGTTACCTTTCCTTTGACCTTGGCCTCACTTTTCTTAAATTAGTGTTTAGCTCAGTTTTAAACATACCATTCAAGAAGGTGTTATCAAACTTTACATGTTGATGCAAACTTGCACGGATGATGCATCTAGGGATGAACCTACATTTTCATGCTCCCTACATTTACCAGTAACTGGTTAAAGTTTTTGGAGCAGGTCCATTCCTAAGGAACTATAAGCAAACTTGCATGGATGATGCATCTAAGGATGGACACTACCAGACTTGCTTCGGATGCTGGATCTGACTTATTTTTTCATTCTCAAGTAACTATAAGTCCTACCTGAACCAAACTTGCATGGATGATGCATCTAGGGATGGACACTACCAGACTTGCTTTGGATGCTGGATCTGACCTATATTTTCATTCCCAAGTAACTATAAGCCCTGCCTGAACCAAACTTGCATGGATGATGCAGCTAGGGATGGACACTACCAGACTTGCTTCAGAATCTGGATCTGACCTATATTTTCATTCATCTAGGGATGGACACTACCAGACTTGCTTCGGATGCTGAATCTGACATACATTTTCATTCAACTATCCCCTGAACCAAACTTGCATGGAACTATGAACACTACCAGACTTGCTTCTGCTGGATCTGACCTAGATTTTCATTCCCAAGTAACTATAAGTCAAACCAAACTTGCTTGGATGATGCATCTAGGGATGGACACTACCAGACTTGCTTCGGATGCCGGATCTGACCTATATTTTCATTCCCAAGTAACTATAAGCCCTGCCTGAACCAAACTTGCATGGATGATGCAGCTAGGGATGGACACTACCAGACTTGCTTCAGATGCTGGATCTGACCTATATTTTCATTCATCTAGGGATGGACACTACCAGACTTGCTTCGGATGCTGAATCTGACCTACATTTTCATTCCCAAGTAACTATAAGTCCTACCTGAACCAAACTTGCATGGATGATGCATCTAGGGATGAACACTACCAGACTTGCTTCGGATGCTGGATCTGACCTATATTTTCATTCCCAAGTAACTATAAGTCCTACCTGAACCAAACTTGCATGGATGATGCATCTAGGGATGGACACTACCAGACTTGCTTTGGATGCTGGATCTGACCTATATTTTCATTCCCAAGTAACTATAAGCCCTGCCTGAACCAAACTTGCATGGATGATGCAGCTAGGGATGGACACTACCAGACTTGCTTCAGATGCTGGATCTGACCTATATTTTCATTCATCTAGGGATGGACACTACCAGACTTGCTTCGGATGCTGAATCTGACATACATTTTCATTCCCAAGTAACTATAAGTCCTACCTGAACCAAACTTGCATGGATGATGCATCTAGGGATGAACACTACCAGACTTGCTTCGGATGCTGGATCTGACCTAGATTTTCATTCCCAAGTAACTATAAGTCCTACCTGAACCAAACTTGCTTGGATGATGCATCTAGGGATGGACACTACCAGACTTGCTTCGGATGCCGGATCTGACCTATATTTTCATTCCCAAGTAACTATAAGCCCTGCCTGAACCAAACTTGCATGGATGATGCAGCTAGGGATGGACACTACCAGACTTGCTTCAGATGCTGGATCTGACCTATATTTTCATTCATCTAGGGATGGACACTACCAGACTTGCTTCGGATGCTGAATCTGACATACATTTTCATTCCCAAGTAACTATAAGTCCTACCTGAACCAAACTTGCATGGATGATGCATCTAGGGATGAGCACTACCAGACTTGCTTCGGATGCTGGATCTGACCTAGATTTTTATTCCCAAGTAACTATAAGTCCTACCTGAACCAAACTTGCTTGGATGATGCATCTAGGGATGGACACTACCAGACTTGCTTTGGATGCTGGATCTGACCTATATTTTCATTCCCAAGTAACTATAAGCCCTACCTGAACCAAACTTGCATGGATGATGCAGCTAGGGATGGACACTACCAGACTTGCTTCAGATGCTGGATCTGACCTATATTTTCATTCATCTAGGGATGGACACTACCAGACTTGCTTCGGATGCTGGATCTGACCTACATTTTCATTCCCAAGTAACTATAAGCCCTACCTGAACCAAACTGATCAAATTTCATACACATACAAATTTTCATGTTGCTTTACTAATATATCCTCGGCGGGGCATTCATGTCCTATGGACATATTTCTAGTTTGTTAATATCATGCAAGGTATTAATACATTGTAATTTCCTATAACTATACAAATTCAAATAATTTGTTAATAAAGCTAATGATTAAGAGATGCTGTTGAATAAATTTTCCCGCCTATAAGTGAATATTACTCACCCGTGTCATGGTCCACCTGTAATCCCTGAAACAGAACCAAAAAGTAGTTCTCAACTTGATGATGTTGGATAAACACAAAGCTTTCAATTAATCCCTAAAAAATAATCTGAAAAAAGACAATTGTTTAGAAACTAAACGTAGGCTATAAAAAGAAGGTAAAGATTTGTCAATCTATGTTCATGAAATAAGGGAAGATAAGGAAAAGTGACAAATCTGTAAAAGCCCTACTAATAATATTATCATCTTGAATGGCATAAAATACGGACTCTAGAGGTTGAATCAGGTGCCAGGGTGGAGTAAGCTTCCTCTCCCCACTGGTCAGCTTCCGTTAGTCCTAATGATCAGACAGACGGAATAGTCCATAGTGAAAATTTGTATAAAAACAACTTTGGAAAGACAACAAGGCTTTAATACTGAGGCTTTATAAACTTTATATGAGGGTTGTCCCAAAATTACAGTAACTCCCCAAGAAAAGTCTTATTTCAGATGTACAAATTCATCCAAGTCGCGCACATAGCGCAGTGATTAGATCGTCTGCTCAAAAGTCGCGGAGTAAGGATCTGATACTTATATTTATTCAGGTTCGAATCCATTAGGGGACGTAAAGACCGGTCCTTCGGATAAGACCGTATGAGCCGAGGTCACATGTCACAGTAGTTGGCACGAAAAAAATCCCTCACTGCTCAATAATCCTGAGTGCCGAGTATAGGACAAAGTCTGTAGCTCTCCACCAGCAAAAGTGGAGTCTCTATAAGAGTGAAACATATTTGAGAGGGACTTTGAATGACAACAATCAACCAACAAAGTCATTCTAATGTTAAAAAAAAAAAAAAAAAAAAAAAAAAACTTTGTTGAAAAAAACGAACAGCAAAATGCATGTAGAATGCTGATGAAAAATTTGTATGTTGTGAATACAGAGGGAATAACAAGACGTTTAAAAATTTTGTGCGTCTGCTTCACTCAAATTACGGAATAGAAAGGAATATTCTAGAAGACATGCGCATTCAACAAATATTTTTGAGCACCGAACCCGATGAATTATGAACGTAATGATTAGGAGTTATCGATCTTAGCATATGTAAAAAACTAAGCTGCGCGAAATAACCAGGTTTATCCATATTTGATAAACTCCATTATCAACAACAAGGTTAAAGTCGCCCGACTAAATGCACTAAATTCAATACCGCTTTTAGCTTTGATCTGAAATTGGTATATATTTATTCAAAATTTCAATATCCTAGAACGGTTCATTTGATAGGGTGGATATTGACGTTACCTGACATTTACTGAGAAGCAATAGATATTTCTTCTGCCTCTCTAATCAGGAATTACAACCTTTATTACTTTAGAAAAAACCACGCATATTGACAGGAGAACTCTGTATTATCTGTAGTTCTTTGTGTATTTTACACAATGGGGGTATTTTGAAAATAATTCATACTGAGTGTACAAAAGAAATATTCTAATCGTTGACTGTCCTTCAGACAGAATGCTATTACAACTCTAATATTGAGTATTTCCAAAGTTTCACAAATCATATACTATGAAATCCGTCTACCAAATTTACATAGGTAAACACATATTAACAAGACATTGGAAATTAAAACACAATACTTTTTTAAAAAAGTTCTGAAGGTAGCGTGACCTTCACGTTCATAAAATCAAGAGTGAGTACTAGAAAATAAAATGCTCACGAATGTATCTCTGTATTCACAAAGTAATGTATACTTACCCACAGTATTTCTTCAAAATTATTCATTATTGTTTTAATGAATAACTTTATTCATTAAGACCCCTTATTTTGAAGTCGAAAGGTCAAGGTCATAAATTCATACATTCTTTGTGTGTATAAAACTTTCATTTCCAGTCGATATCTCAAAATGCTTTGGAGATTTTGCAATTAAATTTCATACCACAACCTCCTATGGCTCCGCCTGCCCTTCTTAAAGTGACCCGGGACCTTTCTGGATCCACGCATGCTCTTCCTTTTTTCCTTAAGCAGGGAACACGTACATATTCTCTAAATTAACTTGTTTTCGTTTTATTCCTCTTATCCCGTCAACAAATATGTTGAAATTTTTTGGGGAAAATACTTTCTCACCTACCTACCGACCCAGTAATTTTACTCTGAGTTGGGAGAGGGCAAATACACATTTGAAGGAAGAAGAACGTATAGAAAAATATCGTGTGATATAATATTTATATAGTATTATAATAGTATTTGTAATAACAATATCAGGTAAGAAATAAATATGCAATGACATTTTCGTTTAAGATATACTTGAAAAGAATTTGTGTTTCAGATTTAGAGATTCTTAAATTATAGATTCGAAAAAAGACAGATCAAAAATCTACAGTGCAAAGTCTACCTGACAAAGTATGTGTTCCCCGGCTCCCTCCGCGATGATTGCCGCCTGTAGCTGACCAAGAGTCCGGGCCTGCTCCTGTATGGCGGCCCTCAGAGTGTAGAACGACCTCCGCCACCCTGACGTCCCCACAGTCTGGTCCCGGACACGCCGGATCTCTGTCTGACTCAAGCCTAGTCTTTGTGAGATGGAGGGGAGAACCTTGGGATCGAGGCGCCGGGCCAGTCGTCCTATCAGCTGATCTGACGGGGTCTTTGTCAAGAGGTATTCCTTTAATCCTAAATAAGCATTGTCATATAATCCAGTATTACTTCTTAGTAGTGAAATAAACAATGGGTCTGAGAACTATATGATAATTAATTCGACCTTGGAATATTTTCAAAAATATGAAAGATTTGAAAGTATTTGTTCTCGTACAACTATACTGCACCTTTAGAATGGAATTTAATGAAAAGATGAAACTAGATTAACTTGAAAAGCAGATATTCGTTATTTGCTCTTCCTCAAACTTTTATTTTAAATCAAACTCTTGCGGACAACCTTGAGGTATATGTATCTCAACTGATGAGGCCATGAACATCAATGTGATCTGACGTTTTAATCTTTATCTGAAATCTCATGGCCTCTAAAATTACTAGGTTTGTTTTGTCGAAATACATCTGAAATTATGTTCTTATTAAACTAATTTCTGTTAAAAAAATAATCAATTTAAATGATTTGAAATAAATTGCAAGCCAAAGTATTCATAAATGAAAGCGGACATTATAGTCGTATGACAAAAAGATTAAACTTGTTTTTCTGTGCAGTGACATTGAGCTTTCCCGGCGATTATTTTTCTTCTTCTTTTAAAATTCCTAATCTTGAGTAATCTTGAGATGAAACTTATAAAGTAGGTCCTTCTTAAAACTTAAGATGGAATCTGTCTTGTCAGTAGGTTAAGGCATACCTTTACAGTCGGCCTTGCACGTATAGGAATGTACGGGGTCCTGGAAAGTCTCCTAAGAAAAACAACAAAGACAATAAGCCCACAACGCTCACCTGAGTTACTATGGCCCTCTGTTCATTACAAGCAAATTCTTTTTCTATGTTCCTATGTAAAACTTGTTATTTTTTATGTCCCAACTCTTAACGCCGGGGTGGGGGGTGTCATGATTTGTTCAAACATCAATATGTATAATACTGAGTAAATGGATACTTTCATGTAAATATGACTAAATAAGTACATGCATTTGCTGTTCTTCAGATGAGATCTTTTCAAGCTGTTTCCTGTGAATTTATATGTAATACTTCAACTGTCCATTGTTGTTCCACCCTCCTCCCAGAAGTCAATTAATCTACAGGATCTGCGAAAGGTATAGCTAAACGTGTACTATCATGGCCGAGAAAAAAATTAAAGCCTTTTATTTATTTCTATGTAAAACTTCGATCCACTTAAACTCAACACATAACTAATACTTAGAGGCCATGATGAACAACCTTTAATCTGCACTCTATGAGGATGATTCCATATAAATATGACTTATCAAGGCCTTGTTATTCATTAAATAAAGATTTTTAAATAATAATTATATATTCCTACTATTAATTTTGCCCCCTGTTGGTGTTCCATATTATCCCCAATCGGTCATGAAGGGAACAATTTTGAATATATATTATCTGAAGATACTCCTTTTGTATTGATAAAAATATATTAATTTTATTTAAGAAACCAAGTACTTCAACTCACAAGTAGTTCTTTATTCAAATAATCGATATTGTAAGTCTGACACTTGAAAACGTAAAATTGAATTAAGGTAAAGACCCATACCATGCTATGAAAATAACGGACCTAAATGTTTCGTTGAAACTTCTCAGAATCTTAACTAAGTATTTGTACTTTCCAGATCTGTGTAAATTTTGGGATCAAACGGGCCTCCTTTTGAAAGGATTGTTACTAAAAATAGACATTGCCTCGTGAAATTCCGGAAATGCAGTAATTAAGATATTTATGCTAGGTTTCTAAAATTAAAAGCAAAAGAAAATTTTTAACATATGAATTATAGAGAAAATATGCTTGTTTAACGGGTTAATTATTTTTTTAATCTGCTGATCCACTTAATATTACTTTCTAGGGCGAATTAAACATATTTAGCTCAAAATTATAAACTTCATTACTAGTAAAAATAAATTGCTGCTTGATATTCTAACTAGAGATTTCTTTTTTAAATTAACACGTTATTTTATATGGAAATTAATGTAGGCTACCTTTCTTTTATGGTAAGTGAAATCGACGTCAGGCATTTTTGGTAGAATAAGCGTCGGGCGCATTTGGCGTAATAACGTCACTGACGAGAATAGCGTCATATAGCGTCATTTCACGTTGTATGGATAATTACCTTAAATAGTGTAATATATGAACAAGAAAAACGAAAGAATTACAAGAAAAGCGAAAGGGTTGGCAGGTCTGCCTATATATTCCTATGTTTAACTTTGACCCCTTGTTCTGGACCTGCCTTATCCCAAGGGGGTGGGGGTATGATATGTCCAAAATTTTGATACATTTTAGGTTGGTTATGAAGCACTTAATTCATTCTGGCATAGTGGTTCTTAAAAAAAATTTTCAAGAAATTCAATAAAATTCTAAAAAAAAAAAATTGAAGATGATGTAACCTTTAATTTGGTCTCCCTAATATTCCCTTTACCCAAGAATTCTTTGTGGCAAGTTTGGTTAAAAATTGACCAGTTCTCGAGAAGAATTCAGATATGTGATAGGTTTACAGACAACTAACCAAACACGACAGACAAACAAACGGATGACGTACACTTTTTGATCAGAAAGCTCACTTGAGCCATTGGGCAATAATTTACAAAGGGGACCACTATTGATGACCAACTACATTTGTATGATCCCCTGTTCTGGCCATGCCCTTTCCCAGGGATCAGGATATGGACAATCTTAAGTATGTTATGAAGCTCTTAAAAAAGTTTCATCCATTCTGGTCCAGTGGTTCCTGAATATAAAAGTTCCTGAATATAAAATTTCTGTAAAATGCCAGCAAAGTTTCAAATATTCTTAATAACATTTCAGGTGAACTTACAATTACTAATACTAAATGTGATCCACCTATTTCTTGTTTGTTTATTTACACTCAGACCATACAATGGTATATGAGGTACAGGAACATATTTACATAATTATATACAAAATACAAAGTCAAGTGAGGAAGAGTAGTATCAATTAAATAGTTACTAAAAGCAGGCCAATATCTTTTTAGCTAATAAAGACAGTTTAAACAGTGAATCAACATTTGTGATGGACATAATTTTCTCAAATTTATAAGTATTTACATGAAGACAATACTTCTTATCAATAAGTTTAACCCGTAAAGACAAAAAATATGGACACTCCATTATATAGTGAAATTCATCCCCCAAAGTATTTTTGTTACATAAATTACATAATCTTAAAGATCTATCAGTATTAGTCCGTCTACCTGATTCTACTGGAAGTTTGTGGTTACAAGTTTTAAATTTTGTTAATACAATTCTTAAGTCTTTTGGGAGTTTACTTAAGTAAATTTCTCTTCCAAAATTGTTTTTGAAAATCCTGTAATTTAAACATTTAGGTGAATTTTCTATGTTAATATGCCAGTGTTGTAAAAATTGATTTAACAACGTTTCTTTCACAATAGATTTTAACCATGTAACACTAATGAAATTTTGATTTATCCACACATAAGACAGGCCACAGGAATTCAAGATATCCCTTATGCATTTCAACCATGGGTGCATAAATGATCCGTCAGAAAATTGTTTATAAAGAAAGCAATACATTATGTATGTCAGCTTACTCTCATGTGACATCAAAAGTTTAGCCCAGTAAGTAATCATTCGTACCTTTATACGTATTATTAAAGGATATCGCCCAGTTTCCCCATACACCATACAACTTGGGGTACTGGACTTAACATGCAAAACAAATTTCAAAAATTTCAAGTGTACCTTTTCTAAAATATCTATGTTTTCGTAGCCCCAAACTTCACACCCGTACAACAAAATCGGGCTTATAACTTTGTCAAAAAGATCTATTTGACAATCTACTGGCAAGTTAAAATACCTTATCTTTCTAAGTACTCCATACATTGCTTTTGAAGCTTGTTTAGTTAAGTGTGTTTTGGCACTTTTGAAAAAACCACTACGGGACATGATAACACCTAAGTATTTAAATTCGTTCACAATTTCAATTGGTGCTTCTCTGTACAAAAATATGTTTTTTGGGATCCTTCCCCTAGAAAAAAATTACTATCTTAGTCTTGTCTGTATTTACTTGAAGTTTCCAGTGGTCACAATAATCAGAAAAAATATTCAACGCTCTTTGTAAGTCATCAGGGTTATCAGATAGTAAATCTGTGTCGTCAGCATAGAAAAGTATAAATAATTTAAACATAATCTGCATTTCATTTTCTATTTTCTCACTTAAGCTCTTAATCCCATCAATATTATTCTGCAGTAAATAATTTTCTAAATCATTAATATACAAATTAAAAAGAAATGGGGATAAATTTTCCCCCTGCCTTACCCCAAGATTACACATGAAAAACTGAGGTATTTTGGTCAATACATATCATCGATTTTATACCATTATACATATTTCTGATAAATCTTAGACGTTTACCATCTATCCCACTTTTTAACACTTTTGACCACAAACCAGATCGCCATACCGTATCAAAGGCTTGCTTAAAATCAATAAATGCACAATAAAGTTTTTTCTTACTAAACAAGACAAATTTACACATAAAATCTAATATCAATATATTATCTATTGTACCATATCCTTTTCTAAAGCCAGTTTGAGCTTCAGTAATCAGTTATAATTCATCAGCAAAAATATTCAAACGGTCACATAAAATGCTGGTAAAAACTTTTCCTAAACAGCTAAGCAATGTTATTGGTCTATAGTTTTCAGGAAGAGTTGGGTCACCCTTGTTTTTAGCTCACCTCAACGAAGTTGGGGGGAGCTTATGTGATACCCTCGGCGTCGGCGTCGGCGTCGGTGTCGGTGTCGGCGTTGGCGTCCCGGGTTAAGGTTAAGTTTTTTGGAGCAGTTTTCTTTTTAAGTACTTCTATGTCCTATATTGATTAGACATGCATGGAAGATGTTGCTAGTGTGTTTCATTGTACCAGTCAAAGTTTCAGATGCTGCAATTTCAGCAAAGGAATGACCAGGTTAATGTTTTTGGTGCAGGTTAACATTTTTGGTGCAGTTTTTGGTGTAGGTCTCATTTCCGAGTAACTATAAGCCCTATGTTGACCAAACTTACATGGATGATACATCTTAGGATGCATACTACCAGCCTTGCTTCGGATGCTGAATCTGACCTACATTTTCCGGTTGAGTGAACAGGTTAAAGTTTTTGGTGAAGGTTTCATTTCGAAGATACTTTGAGCCCTATAATGACCAAACTTGCATGGATGGTACATCTTATGATGTATTCTACTAGACTTGCTTCAAATGCTGAATCTGACCTACATTTTCCGGTTGAGTGAACAGGTTAAAGTTTTTGGTGCAGGTTTCATTTCCAAGTTACTATGAGACATATAATGACCAAACTTACATGGATGATACATCTTCGAATGCATACTACCAGCCTTGCTTCGGATGCTGAATCTGACCTACATTTTCCGGTTGAGTGAACAGGTTAAAGTTTTTGATAAAGGTTTTATTTCGAAGATACTTTGAGCCCTATAATGACCAAACTTGCATGGATGGTACATCTTAGGATGTATTCTACTAGACTTGCTTCGGATGCTGAATCTGACCTACAATTTCCGGTTGAGTGAACAGGTTAAAGTTTTTGATAAAGGTTTCATTTCGAAGATACTTTGAGCCCTATAATGACCAAACTTGCATGGATGGTACATCTTAGGATGTATTCTACTAGACTTGCTTCGGATGCTGAATCTGACCTACAATTTCCGGTTGAGTGAACAGGTTAAAGTTTTTGGTGAAGGTTTCATTTCCAAGTTACTATGAGACATATAATGACCAAACTTACATGGATGATACATCTTAGGATGCATACTACCAGCCATGCTTCGGATGCTGAATCTGACCTACATTTTCCGGTTGAGTGAACAGGTTAAAGTTTTTGGTAAAGGTTTCATTTCGAAGATACTTTGAGCCCTATAATGACCAAACTTGCACGGATGGTACATCTTAGGATGTATTCTACTAGACTTGCTTCGGATGCTGAATCTGACCTATATTTTCCAGTTGAGTGAACAGGTTAAAGTTTTTGGTGAAGGTTTCAATTCCAAGTTACTATGAGACATATAATGACCAAACTTACATGGATGATACATCTTAGGATGCATACTACCAGCCTTGCTTCGGATGCTGAATCTGACCTACATTTTCTGGTTGAGTGAACAGGTTTAATTTTTTGGTGAAGGTTTCAATTCCAAGGTACAGTGTACTATGAACCCTATGACCAAACTTGCATGGATGGTACATCTAAGGGTGCATTCTACTAGGCTGGCTTCGGATGCTGAATCTGACCTACATTTTCTGGATTAGTGGAAAGGTTAATTTTTTTATACAGGTTTCATTTGCAAGTAACTTTAAGCCCTATGTTGACCAAACTTGCATGGATGATACATCTTAGGATGCATACTAATGGACTTGCTTCAGATGCTGAATTTGACCTACATTTTCCAGATAATAGACCTCGTAAAAGTTATGGGTGCAAGTCTATCACCAAGAAACTATAAGGCTTATATAAACTAGTTGCACAAATGATGCATCAAGGGATGAAAACTCTCAATCTTGCTTCAGATGCTGGATTTTAATTACATTTTCATGATGAAGAACTAGTTTTTAGTTTTTATATAGGTCTATTCCAAAGTATCAAAATTGCATAAATTTTGCATTTTTGGATGTACACTTTTTGATGGTTAATTGTGTGACTTAATTTGCCTAACTTAAAGACAACACACGTTGAGGTGAGCTCTGTAATCTCTGATTACCTATGTTTATATATTGGCTTAACGATACCAATGAGCCATTCTTCAGGTACATAACCAGTATCAAAAATCACATTGAAAATATCAACATAAAGTGGCAAAAAACTTGATATGGTTGTTCTTATAAATTCGTTACAGATTTGATCATATCCTGGAGCTTTATTATTTTTTAGTTTGTCCACTGCTTGCAAAATTTCATTTGCAGAGATCTGATAATTTAAAGGAGAGTTATTATCGAGATTAACATTATAATTATCATCCTCTTCATCATCTTTAGATTCATTAATTTTTTTCAAAAAATCGTACATTGATTTGATATCGACTTCCGTTTTACATTTAGTCTTCGAGTTATTTAAAATTCTCCAATATTCCTTAGTATTACTTTTCTGTAGATTTTCTAATTTTGAGGTTATAGATAAAGTATGTTTAACCACCAGGAGAACCACTTACATTCAGGTGAATTACCAATTATTAACACATAGGTGATTTACTGAATACAAATACTCAAATGAATCACAGATAACCACAAAAGACACGTTTCCATGTTAACAATTGATAACTAACACATTGCTAATAAACCAAATTATCTCCTGAACCATTAGATTTACTTCCAATGATAAACACTCAAAAATGATATGGCCCATCAAGAACTGACACTCAGGTAAACCACACCTTACATTAAGGTTATCTACCAAATACTAACACTCTTGTGAACCATCAGTAACTAACACGTATTTGACACGCCAATTACTTAAACTCAACTGAACCACCAATTTCTAACGATCAAACAAATACATGTACTAAGGTTATCCAAAATTTACGAACACTCTAGTTTAACAATCATTACAGTTAAGTGAGCCCCCAATAATTAACTCTCATGGAAACAATTAAAAATTAACACTAGGGTGAACCACCAAATAGTAACTATCCGGGAACAGCTAATACGACTTTCTTATGTTTTCAACCAATAATTTAATTTAAGATGTAACACGTCATTTGATTGGATAAAAGATTTATTTTATATCATATTAACATAAGTTGCCAACGTCACAATGAGCTTAACTTTCAACTAACACTTAGGCGTTCCACCAAATACGTTCACTCAGATGAAGCAGCAATTACTAAAACTGAAGAAATTGGTAATTCACTGATTAAAAACACTCAGGAAAACCACGAATGACGGAAAACTCAAATTACAATTCATTATGAACCCTTAATTAATCCTTTGATGACTAAAACACAATAAAGCATCAAGTACACTCAGGTAATCCACCAATAATTAACACTCAGGTTTACAATTAATAACTTACACCACCAGTACTCAGCTAACCACAAATAATCAACACTGATGTAAACCACAACTACTTATCACGTAGGTACACCAGAAAATTCAACACACTTTTATAAACAGCCAAATGGTAACACTCAGTTGAACCACTAATTGTAAATTCTCCGATGAACCACAATTGACTAACACTACCTTAACTACCAATAATTAGCACAAAGGTGAACCACTAATTACTAACACTCAGGTAAATCATGAATTATTAACACTTAGGCAAAAATTAATCACCAAATACTGACTCTCCAATAAACCACCCATAGACCCCGGATGTAAAGCACCAATAATTTACACTCAGGTTAACCACGAATTACTAGTCCCCTACCGGTGAAACCGGAGAGGACTATAGGTTTCCTCTGCGTCTGTCTGTCCGTCCGTCCGTCTGTCTGTCAGTCTGTCTTATTTAGTTTTCCGCACTTTTTTCTTAAACGATTGCAGAAATTGAGCTGATTTTTGGTATGTGAGTGTATCCTGATTGATGAGTTACAGGTCAAGATTGAATTTCGTTTCGCTTCACTAATTTTTGACGGAATAATGGCATTTTTTGATAATTGGGAATACGATCGGGTTCGTGATGCTCTAAATTAATTTTCCAAATGAGCTTCTATCTTAAAGAGAAAAGGGGAACCCGGTGTGGGACATGTATTTGTTATGCAATACTCTCAGAATGCTTATTAATCAGGTGATATGTTAAAAGGGGCAATTAAGTAGGAAAAAAAGCAAAAGTTTCTATCGATTAGATTTCAGATTATTCTCGTATTATCTTGTAGGCAAAGCTGTGATTTTTAAGGAAAGAAGTGTTGTGTTTCATCTATATGTACATGTAAGTACTAACCTCGTTAATTTTTGTGTGAAATTTAAAATATTTATTTTTAAAAAATGTAGTTCATACATCATTTATGTGGCATCTGTTTAATGACTTAAGGTAGGATTCTTCTCTGGTTTCTGACTAGATGAAACATTCAAAGTATATTTGCTTATATGTCTTATATATTAAGGTGTGAGGAATTTAAAAGACCATATTTTTCTTTCTTCATCACAATTGTACAATTTTAAACATAAATGGTAAACTGCGTTTGAAAAATAGCAGGGACTATATTTTTGGCGGAATGATGGTGTAAAAGATCTTCTTTTCTGCCTCTCAAAATTATCATAGAACAATGAATTTAGTTATAATTTTTACACAATCGAAGACTTGAAGAAATTTTCAAATGTAAGTTAAATTAATAATGAGGGACTATACTTTCAAAATATATCAAATAAATATGATTTTCTTAACAAACTAGAACTTTGTTAGCTTTTAAACGCTTCCTATCAAAGTGCAGATTTGAGCCAAAAATCCATAAAAAGTATTTTTTCTCTCTTACTAAACGATCAAAATTTTTGTTTTTGTTTCATTTTGTACATTTATAAGACTATTTTATTACATGTGAAAATAAGAAAAAGTTAAATATAGGAAGCATATGAAAATAACTAATATATCCTAAAAAATTAAGAAAAACAGAGAAAATTCGGATTAGCCAATATCTAGTTAAGTTTAATTATTTATGTAAATTTGGTAATATCATGCTATAGAACCGATATAGTAATATGTTTTTATACAAAAAGAACAATCTTTAAACTTTTGAAATAAAAGTAGGTATCACATGATTGGCAACAGTATTTTTTTTATTCTTAATGTCAAGGAAAAAGATAATGACCTTGACCTGACCTTGCCTCTAATATAAAACGGTCAAATTTAATTTCACTGAAACTATCACTTACTGATATTGTCTTCTTGATTCTGTAAAAATTTCATTAACTTTTAAATATTAGAAATGTGAGAAGAATCCTACCTTAAGCACGATTGAAATATATCATAAATCAACGCACAGTGACCAGTAGTAATTAACAGTCAAGTGACCTAACGATTACCATCACTGATGTAACCATTTTCTGTTTATATTTGTCTTTCGTTTGTTTATGTAAAAAGAATTTCAATTCCTAAAAAAAGAATCGACTTATTTCTTAAACAAAGCTGGCGAAGGAAAGAATTATCATGTATTTCATACTAAAGCTCGAACTAACAATTTTATGTTATCTTAATTATTAAAATTCCCTTGGATGTCAGCTAAGTAATCAATAAAAGTTTATTAAAAACAATGTTTCCCTTTTTAAAATTGTTCTCTTGGCGAGAAGTATACATTTGAATTTTGAAAATATTTATCAGAAGATCGAAAGTTTCAAAAACTCAAAATAATCACAGGTATATGATGATTTTACCATATTGCAGATCAAAATGTTGATATCTAGTGCAAATGACCTTTCAAACAAACATCATCGGTATTGTTTTCTGTCTTATCTTTCAAAGACATTCACTTTCACGGCCAGCGTACGTCAACATCTTGATTTCGATTCTAAATTTTTATTAGAGTCCATTACAGACAACACACAATTTATCTAGAATTTATCATTTTACAAGCTCTACATAATGTTGGAATGAGTACCTCGGTAGAGTACCAGACCCCAAGAAGATCACGTGATCCTCCACCAACGCCATGTTTCTCACATTTCCACTCCTCTTTGTTCTGTAATTCATCCACTGTTGCAAAACAGGATGATAAACTATTACACGTCGCTAACTCAGCAGCATAGATTCCTTCATTTACTTGGATCTCATTTTTGTTCTGAAATTATAGAATTAACTCCAACAAAATCTTTATACTAATTGCTGGTACCAAGAAATGTTGCATTTGCTATGTGAACAAACCTTATTTTTTGTTGTTATTTGTATGATCCCACCCTCTGTGTTTTGAACAAACTGTGTCTTCTGTTTTACTGAAGAAGTCACGCATAAAATACATTTTAGATTCAGTTCTAGAAAATGGCGTACATTCTGTGTGACACTTGGGTTTATATTTACACTGGCAGTCTTGTGATAGATATAGACGTCGACTGCATTACCATGGCTAGCTAAGACGAGGCGGTGGTAATGGTCTAACGAGAAAGCGGCAATGTTTACCATCAAACAATACTTGGTGGAGTAATTCACAACTGACCACAGTGACAGTGCTGCCGATAGGAGGCGCTGGAACACAGCCAGGGGCAGACAACCATTTATTCGAAATCTCATTGTTATGCATTTCTTCTCGGCAAAAAGCTTCTCTATTTGTAAAAAAAAAGAGAAATAAATTTATTCAATTATTAACTTAAATTCGACCGCTTAACTTCAAATTTGTTTCCAAACTGAATGAAAATAAATTTTCCTTGAGGAATATTTAAAACATTTGTTCTCTATCCTAGCTCAAAATCTGTTCTTTTTTTAAATTTCACATTTAGTGGATTTGTGATATTATAGTAGTGTAAGACTGTAGTAACTGATATCTCGTTTAGTCTTGTGGCTTAAATTCTTTATTAAAAAAAACTCTGACTTAAGGTGCTTTATTGATTTTAAAATGAAAAAAGGTGAAGGTTGAGAGGCAACTGAGAAATTAAAAAAGAAGAAAATTATATTTATGTTGACAACTCCAACTACTGAATTTAAATGGGCTCAAGTATGAAAATTTCTACACCAGAAAATTTAAAAATTTATGAATTAACAGAAATTGTATCAAGAATCTTGCGCCTTTAATAAACACAGGTTACCTTGAAGTGGTGAAATGTTCATGTATTGAAGAGAATCCATTAAAACTAGGTATTCTGGGTCGAATAAATTACCGTGGGCGTCATATGTTACAGGCTTTGCAAAAATTCCCATATCAATCAAGACCCTGGCCACAAAAATAAAACAGTGCATTTTTAAGCATGAAAAAGCTGATAGAGTAATTTACATGTAAAGTATTGAATTAAATATCAATAATTACCAAATAGCTAAAGGTGACATTCAGAAGATCACCAGAATTGCCTACCTGACTATTATCTGTCCCTTGTCGTGGACTCTACCAGAGGCAAGGTACTGCGTTATTACAGAGTTTGGGATGACGACATACTTGTGGGAAGCTGGTCTTGATGGCTTGTCGTTCTGTGCCATACTTTCAATCACTCGTACTTCCTCAGAAATAACACTAGGATCTAGGAACACGTAATCCTGATGATCAGTGTTTGGAAAGTCAAAAAAATTACCTACAGTCACGTGGTATTTCAGGAATACCTCCAGATCGAGAGGGTCCAACGGCTCGCTGTGTTCTGTATTATATTTCCGAAGGATATTTGAAGAAATAACCTATTTTAAATCAGAATTAATTGTATCAATTATGTAAAAACAAAATTCTACCAGAACTAGTCTTAACCATGGTATGGCGTTAATATCCTGGAAACCCGTGGCAGATATTGTGTGGTAGTTACTTGTGACATATTCTGAGTAAACAGAATTTGAACTTCTAAATATCAGTGTGCTTGATTTGTCTACACCAGAATCAAGTCAGAGGCGTGCATTTTGGGTATTTCAGTTTTTAACATAACGGCCAATTGCAAGAATTTTGCGGATTTATTTCAACACATTCAGTGTATTTAAAGAAAGAGGGTGTATTATGGAAGGACAATCCCCTGCTCTCGGAATTCTTTATGAAAAGTTCACGGAAAAGCTATATTTTTTTAAACCTCTAAGAATTTTTACATATACATTTATTTAAAATGACAATCCCCTTGTTTTGGTCAAAGAATCTTATCCTTGCTTCTCAAGCTAATTCCCGGTCATTCGTATTCCTCTGGATTTCACATTTTGTATTATTATACTTTCATGTTAAATACTACAATCTGATTGGTTTAGACGCAGTTAACAATCCGTTCTATTACCCTCAGCCTTAGCAACACACGTGACAACGGATAACACAACGGTAATGTTACATGCGTGGAAATTATGCGCGTACGGTTCACCGTAGAATTCTCAACACGTCAGTTGTGCGTTTGAAAGAACCGGAATAAACTTGAAGTCGATGAAAGCTTGCGTCCGATGTAGCTTACTTGAAAACAACAAACGACAGACGAAACATGCTTGCGAGTGCTGAAATAACAAAATTTTAGATGATAAAGAACTCTTAGAGTATCAAATAAACAATAAAGAGGTCAGTAAATCTTTTTCGAAGTAGCGTGGAGTTTGAAAGCTTTTTAAACGTGATCGTAGATAGACGATTTTTTTTCTGACATCCTAAATCAAGAAGACATTCAGTATAATAAAATAAATGGTGCCTGTTTTGGAGGGTAACAGTTGAAATTGACACCCCTCGGAAAACCATTGTCAACCTCCGCTGACGCGTCGGTTGACAATGGTTTTCCTTGGGGTGTCAATTTCAACTGTTACCCTCCAAAACAGGCACCATTTATATATTGTTACACTTTTACATGGAATATTATTAATTTTCTAATCACCGTGCATAAGCTAAGGTAATTTCCGCTACCACACCAGATGGTACGTCTTCATCGTGTTTAGACGGACAAATCAAGGAATTACAGTGCAAGACTTGTAGGTGTAAAAGCGGCAAAGGTGGGTGTAAGGAAAAATAGTTTTGGACTAATAAAGTATACATAATTATATGTGTGATCAAAAAAGGGGTTGGTAAACTATTTAAGAAATCTTATTAAAGTATGCAACATTTTATAGGGTTTTTATTGGTTCAATGACTTAAGCTTTAGATGAACGAAACATTGGCTATCGTTCTAGTTGTGTAATTTCTCATTGGTTTAAAGGGAGCTTAACTTGCAAAAGATGTTCTATACCAGAAAAATAAATACCTTATGACCTTCTCTTTTCTTTGACATCAATCGATCATAAAACGTAATCCAGTGTCGAGGAAAACGTTCTGCTTTTCGATATTTGTCTACAACACAAAATTCACAACGTATATTATCATTCACTGTAAGAAATGAACTAAAATGTTTAGTTTATCTTGCAAGTAGTAAGTTGTAAGTTATAACGTCAAGTCGTCAACGTATAAATATATAAATATGAGAGAGCTTAAATTTAACATAGGAAAAAGGGAATATAAATTACTTACTAGAGATATCCATTATGGTTTGTCGAAGACGTTCTATTCCTGTGTCCCGCTCATCCCCAGCATCTCCCCGAAGGAGCGGATCCATGATCAACCAGTCACGCACAGGGGTTCCAGAAAAATATTTCTCTAACTGCCGAATCATAACTTCCGATCGAGACTGATGCATTGTCTACAAATAAAACCTAAATTGATTATTTAGCTATTTATGTGTGTTAAGACACAACTCTCTGCTGAGATACGGCTTGGCTAGACATTAGGGCTTGTACCTGCTAAATCTTAGGAAAGTCAACTCTTTTCCGAAAATGCAAGTGTGTACTCAATGTTTGCGCCTAAGTAAAGCTGCTGTTTGCAGTGTTTAACAGGGACTTTTACAATGTATTATAATAAAACTATATATTTTTACGGAAAATTTTTATAAACCATATGCTGAAAGAACAAGGTTCACTTTTGCCTTATTTGGCCCTGTGAATTTTTGAAACACTGAAACTGCATAGTTTTAGTTAACAATGCATTGAAATATCACTTAGATCTTTGGTGACTGTGTGTCTATAAAGATGACGTAATTTTTTGGTTAGTCAATGCATTATGACGTCACGAAATGCGTCAATTTCCTCATATTCTGAAAAAGTATACAAAAACGGCCAATTTTAAAAGCTATTTTTAGATATTTGATATAGAGCGCAACCTCTGGTCTAAAATGTGCAACTACTACATGATAGAACTATTTCTGGGTATTAAAAGACATGTTTTATTTTTTAGATCAGAGAGTGCAGTGATATTATTTTTCTTCATTGAAAGTACTCAATTATAACTGTTTACCCGAAAATTCAAGAATATTGCAATTTTATTACGCCAGTTCTCCACGACCTGGACTCCTAGGAGAAAATCTTTAATAAGAAATGAAAGCACAAAGTCTCTATTTTATTTTGATACTTCAAATAGAAAAACAAGTGTTAATCAATTAATTGTTATATCAACAGGGCCATTTTATGCATAAAGTGAACCGAGCTCTTTTGTTCATAATTATACAAAACAATTTCCGTTTTTTGCGCGATCGAATGGTAAGTATTAAGTTGCAATTACTTTTCAAAAATTAGCTATAGCTTCCAGTAACGTTTTTTTTCTCCATGATTTAGTTTTGTTATAGCAATTAGCAAATAGCAGATAGCAAAATAGCAAATGGCAATTTGTGATAGCAATTAAATGCAGGGATATCTATTGAAATAAAACTGAATCTCTTTTGTCATTTTTTTTATTGTATATATTTTAAAATATTGAATTTGGTGAAGTACCTCTTTTTGCTGGTTACAGTGTTTGCCAAACACCACTATATATGGATGTCCCTGTTTTGTTCGAGAGCTGAACATGTGAATCATCTCTATCCATCTAATGATGAAATCTGCAGAACAATGAAAAAAGTTCATAATTAATATCTAGGTTTCTATAAGATGTCTCCGTACTAGTAACTGGAATCCCAGCGTGCGTCTTAGTGTAGCGGAACTGAAAGAATACCATGAATAACATACCTGACTCAAAAATTAAATTTTTGTAATGCTGATGATGTTAGAACTGGTACGATGGTCTGATCAGTTTTGCATTTACAAAGGAACTATTTTCGAAACTCTGAATGTAGGTTTTTTCCAACAAACCAAAACGGGTGAGTAACAGGACAAAATTGAACTTCAATACATACTACAAAATTGAACTTCAATACTACAAAATTAACCTCCTTAAAACCTGCTCTAAACCCTCTTTAAAATCAATTATTATCCAGTGGTATTGCATGCAATCTACAGGTATACATACAGGTATACATACATACTAGTATACGGAATATGGTACTCAGAAGTCTATACCTAGTAGCGTTTTCTTCCTGTGTTGTGGACCGTTGTATGATTCCTGCACGAGGTCTGTGGTTTTCTGGGCGAGGCTGTATATCAGGATGTATACTGGTCTCCAGTCCAGCAAGGACTTCCGGCCTTGAAACACGTCATTCTCGGAGCCCAGCTCTCGGATTCGGAGAGGATACAACTGATCTACATTCTTTTCCTGTGGCACACCGAGCTGACGGGGGGAAGGGGCTACTTCTACGCCCAGCGATCGGGGGGAAGGGGTTTCTTCTGGATCATAAATCTCGGGGGATTCGCCTGTTAAAATAAAATCTGTACTGACATTACCGGTTAAGTATATTGGATAAAAGAGCTTTGTCGCATGTACCTATTACTCAATGATTGTGATCTTTATAGAACGATATGTTTTCTTTGAATGAATACACAAAATCATATATGCAGGTAACGGCTTCAATGCACTGCCAATTCGCGAGTTTTGTCGTTTTCTTCATTTACTTAGTATCTCATCAACACGTACCTTCGGTAAAATCCTGTTTACGTGGACTTGCTTGTGGATGTGATCTATGAATATCTCGGTAGGATTCATTTGGTCTAAGTGATCTGTAAAAGGTTAGAAATATTGAAGAAATCGCCAATCAAATGTTCGTTTATATATTTGTCGAGGTTTAACTTTGATCTCACACCATGTTTGCCTAGCTAGTGCAGACCAAGATTTGAAGAAACTTTTTTCTTTGCTACATGTACCATTGACTACCGGTACTTCCATAAAATATTACTATTTCTGTCCTCTTATGATCTGGTATCCCTTATATTATTTCTTCCATAACCCCAGGGGCAATGATTTGAACAAACTTGAATTAATTCTATGGCAGGAAGCTTTCATGAGTTTCATTTTTCTTGGATATGTTACCCCCCGGTATTCGGCGCGATTTTTCAAATGACTCCAACCTTATCTTTTGTTATTCCTTGATTAAATTATCTTTTCAACGAGAAGTGGTCCTTTGTACAAAATTATTCCCTTTACAAAAGATGAATCTGTTCTATCTGTCTGTGTTGTATGGGGTGTTTATAACAGTTCTACCTGACTGTTGTATTGGGTGTTTAAAACAGTTCTACCTGGCTGTGTTGTATTGGGTGTTTAAAACAGTTCTACCTGGCTGTGTTGTATTAGATGTTTATAACAGTTCTACCTGACTGTGTTGTATTGGGTGTTTATAACAGTTCTACCTGACTGTGTTGTATTGGGTGTTTATAACAGTTCTACCTGACTGTTGTATTGGGTGTTTATGACAGTTCTACCTGGCTGTGTTGTATTAGGTGTTTATAACAATTCTACCTGGCTGTGTTGAACTGGGTGTTTATAACAGTTCTACCTGGTTTATTGTAGAGAGTGTTTATAACAGGTCTACCTGGCTATGTTGTATTGGGTGTTTATAACAGTTCTACCTGGTTTATTGTAGAGAGTTTATAACAGTTCTACCTGGCTGTGTTGTATTGGGTGTTTATAACAGTTCTTGTTGGCTGTGTTGTATTGGGTGTTTATAACAGTTCTGGTTGGCTGTGTTGTATTGGGTGTTTATAACAGTTCTACCTGACTGTGTTGTATTGGGTGTTTATAACAGTTCCTCTTGGCTGTGTTGTATTGGGTGTTTATAACAGTTCTGGTTGGCTGTGTTGTATTGGGTGTTTATAACAGTTCTACCTGACTGTGTTGTATTGGGTGTTTATAACAGTTCCTGTTGGCTTTGTTGTATTGGGTGTTTATAACAGTTCTACCTGACTGTTGTATTGGGTGTTTAAAACAGTTCTACCTGGCTGTGTTGTATTGGGTGTTTATAACAGTTCTACCTGACTGTGTTGTATTGGGTGTTTATAACAGTTCTACCTGACTGTGTTGTATTGGGTGTTTATAACAGTTCTACCTGACTGTTGTATTGGGTGTTTATGACAGTTCTACCTGGCTGTGTTGTATTAGGTGTTTATAACAATTCTACCTGGCTGTGTTGAACTGTGTGTTTATATCAGTTCGACCTGGTTTATTGTTTTGTGTGTTTATAACAGGTCTACCTGGCTATGTTGTATTGGGTGTTTATAACAGTTCTACCTGGTTTATTGTAGAGAGTTTATAACAGTTCTACCTGTGTGTTGTATTGGGTGTTTATAACAGTTCTTGTTGGCTGTGTTGTATTGGGTGTTTATAACAGTTCTGGTTGGCTGTGTTGTATTGGGTGTTTATAACAGTTCTACCTGACTGTGTTGTATTGGGTGTTTATAACAGTTCCTGTTGGCTGTGTTGTATTGGGTGTTTATAACAGTTCTACCTAGCTATGTTGTATTGGGTGTTTTTAACAGTTCTACCTGGCTGTCTTGTACTGGGTGTTTATAACAGTTCTACCTGGCTGTGTTATATTGGGTGTTGATAACAGTTCTACCAGCCACGTATAGAGATTTCCAGTTCAGTGGAACAGGTAGTATAAATGTTGTATAGGAGGAATCTAGTCCCTCTGAAAAAAAACTTGAAATTATTATTATTTCACAAATTTGTTCAGTATTGTTTTTTAAAATTCTTAACAAATGTGTATTTGTATTTCACCTTTTTTCTTGATTGAATGCTTTCTTCTACCAATAAATATAGACACGTCTTCCTTTACATTTTTGTTTTCTCTTTTCTGACCCATGACCAAGCTTCTTATTAGTGATTTCGGTTCGGAGCCGACATGACCAATAACATTGATACTGACGTCACGTACAACAAATCGCCCTCTTTGCAACGAAGTACAAAAAACTTCTTGCTCATCGCCTGACATTTGCTGGATTTCCGCTGGTAGACCTATAATGAATCATTGTAAATAAAAGCAATATTGATTACTTTCTTTAACGGGGAAGAGGGCTCCATTATATACTTTTGAATTTTTTTTATGCGCCCGGATCGGTAGATCTGAGGCGTATATTGTTTTTGTCCTGTCTGTTTGTCTGTTATCTGTTTGTCTGTCTGTCTGTTGTCAACTTTAACCTTCGCCATAACTTTTGAACCATGAGAGATAGAGACTTCATATTCGGTTTGCATTCTCAACCGATGAAGCTCTTTCAAATGGCACCAAGGTCAATGACCTTGTGACCTTGACTGTGACCTATATGCTAAAAATAGCTTTTTCGAACTTTCGCCATAACTTTTGAACCATGAGAGGTAGAGACTTCATAATTGATATACACACTCCACTAATAAAGCTCTTTCAAGTGACATCAAAATCATGACCTTGTGACCTTGACTGTGACTTTTATGCTAAATATAGCTTTTTAGACTTTTTGCCATAACGTTTTAAGCATAAGAGATAGATACTTCATATTTGGTATGCATACTTCACTAATAAAGTTCTTTCAAATGACACCAAGGTCGATGACCTTGTGACCTTGACTGTGACTTTTCTGCAAAAAATAGTTTTTTGAACTTTGTTACCGCCGGGCGCATAGTGTTTCACAAACACATCTTGTTTTATTGTATATTTGTACATTTAACGTCATTACATTCCGTGTTGACCTTGATGTACATGTAAGAATGCAACATGTCATGATCTCAAAGGTATCTTACATGTTTTAAGATTTTGTGTCATTACATTCTTCGTTGACTTCGACGTAAAATATTTCAAAAATGCAATAATCTCAGTTAATTACATTTTGTGTCGTTATTACATATTGCCTTGTGGCACAGCAGGTATATATGATAAAACATTTTAAAATACTGAGAAATAGATTGATTAAATAGCGCATTTTTTCGCTATAAACATTGATTTTCCTATGGGTGGCTCTGTGGCTCTCTGGCTGACCACACCGTACTTTTAACAGATCGCCAGCTATATGTATACATACTTCTCTAGAATGAAAATAATCCAAAAAGTTTATCATCAAGAAAGTTAATTTCAAATCAAGCAACATAAAATAAAGTTTTGATAATGTACATTACGTAGTCAGTGTTGAACTAGTTGTGTCCTGCAAATTTCAGATTCAGCCTCCGGAGTAAGTGTGGGTATAGCTGCATTACCAGTGAAAATTTGGTTAGTGTTATACTTAATGTTGTTGGGGAAAAGAACCTGCTCCGTAATCAATCTTGATTCTTATACAATGTAAACATGGTTATCTCATTTGAAACAACTTTGAAACCAATTTCTTATTCCATTCCCCATCTTTTCTTTCTTATACATTTACCTGTTTATTTATTTAACGCCCCTTTGAAAATTTATCTATTTACTCAATTATATATACTTACAACAAAATAACGAGAACAGTAGAGGTTCGTTGCGTGGATGTAATCAAAGATTTTTAATTTTTTGATTACAAATCATGACCATCTGCATGGCCTTGAAACGTCCACAAGCTATGTATAGCCTTTTTAAAAATCAATGTTATATATGATTAAAGACAAAAGCATGAAATAGTGTACACATACTTTGAAAAACCTTTTTGGCCTCAATCTCTCTACCAGCCATAACTGCTCCTATAAGTGGCGCTTCCGCCGGCGCGTCTATGAAAATCGTGCTCCTTTTGGAGAATTTCCGTCTCATGCGGTCGCTCAACTTCCAGTACTTTGAGAAGCCTCCGGTGATAATGACCGTCGTGGTTTTAGGTACTTGAAGATTTTCGAAGGCATGCTGAAGGTATTCTGTGACACTTTCTACAGGCTCTTTTAGGAAGTGCCACACAATTTTTTCATCGGCTGTCAGGCTGTTCTGAGACATGATGACTTTTTCACCGAATTTTGGATTTGGGGCAAACTGCTCTTCCTCTTGAAACGTTGGGAAGAACACTTTAAACCTTTTTACCAACAAAGGTGGAATTCCAAACACATACTTTCTGGTGAATTCCGGTGTCATATTGGACTTGCTCAGTTCAAATAAACTCATTAACTCCTGCATTTGTAACGGCAGGTAGTCCTCAAAGGCCTGGATAACATGCGAGCCAAGAACATTTCTCAAAAATTTTAAAAACTGTTTATCCAAACCTTGACCTCCGAAATTATCTGTATATTGGCACTCCTTCATGTTTATGGTTCCATTCTCGTCCACATCAAGTTTCACGACACTCACAGATGAACCTGTGAATAATATAATGTACAAATATAATAAACCCCAAAAATGCGTCGCACAAAGAGTCTTTGACAGAAAGTACGGTAGATTTCTTCCACAGTTGTATATTCGTAGTACCAATTTTATTGCCTTTAGTTGGCTGTCTAAGACAGTCGTATACAATCGTACCAATTTCCTTTGCTGAGGTATGTTAACAAAGACAAAAAGTTGGATGAAATTGAATCATTAGTTCTTGAGACTGAATATAAGTCCTACTTACCGCCGAGGTCACACACGCAGAGTTGATCTGTCTCTGGAATGTTTTTATCCTGATGGAGTATCTTAGCTGCAATCACTATTGCTTCTACTTCCGGAATAAAGTAGATTGCTTCAGTGTCAATGTTGGCCTGTTAGAATTTATAAAATAAAGACTTAAGTATGAAATCCAAATTCAAATATACCTTATTTCAATGTACAGAAAAATCAAACTTAGAAAATCATATTTAAAGGAAAAAAAAAGGTGAAAAAAACAGAGGAAAAATATGAATGGACATGAAAAGACAAATAACGTTAGAAATTGTCTGTGAAAAAGACGAATTAAAGCTCGATTTGATTTTAAAAAAGTGGATTCAATAAATTTTAAGCTTTTTAAATTTTAATTTACTTAACCTTGCTTGCAGCAGATTTAAGAACTGACATAACATCATTCCTGGCTCTGACCGGAAGATTGAAGACCCAGCGAACATCGACAGGTGATACAGACTCCGCTATATCCCCACATCTCTTAATCAGGTGATGGAGAAAGTACTGTAGAACACCAGAGAGTACCTCGGTCACGGCCAGGGATTGCTTGTTCCTACACGTTACATAATCCTGGGAAAATATTATTACTTTAATTCCATCAATAAGAGCTAGGTTAGCTTCACCTTCGTCCGGTAAAATTTTCCTGATAGCCTATTCTTTTTTCCTAATTTTCAACTTTAAAATCTCCTTCCTTATAGTATACATACATCTTTATGATTTTCTTGTATCATATTGATGTAGGAATATCTTTGGAGACAATAGCTGCCCGGGAAGTAAAGTCTCTTGGTGTACCCTCATTTAACAGATTGACGATTCTCCTAACATCAGTATTTCAGGAAATCATCAAAAATCAATGAATATGGAATAAATTACGTATGACGAGTGGATGAGACGTTTTGATTAAATTCATATATAACAGCTGTATATGAAGCCATTTTTTAATATTATATTACATGTACCAATATAGAAGGGTATACTATACCAATCGAAATATAGTATGCCTCCAGAAAGAAAAGGAACCCATAGAAAGAAAGTATTCCCAACGAAAGTCAGTATAACCCCTATATGTCTTTCAGAAAAGAAAGACAGTTAACACAAAAAGAGAGAGCATACCCAATAAAAGGCCCATAGAAAGAAAGCATGTCCTCCTTAATAAAGTACGACTATCAGTAAAAAGAATACCTTAGTTATGAAAAACAGTATAGCCACAGAAAAAAGTTTCCCCCACCAAAATACAGTATATTGACTTGAAGGCAATATATACCTATCATTCATTCATATTACAATATCTAAAGGAAAAGGTTCTTTCAAAGCATGTAAATGAAATACTACTGCACTATATTTAATTATACCTTAGATTCTGTAAGAATTTTTTTGATGTGTTCGCAGTAAAACCAGGCTGGTGCTTCACCAGATTTCTGTAATTCCAAGAATTTCCGGTCTGCCTCGTTACCAAGAGAATGGAACTGTCTGTTGGGGCTTAAAAGGACACAGGCTTTTGTTTTACTGGAACAGTGTGGCCCCCATTCTGGAAAGTGTAAGCCCTTTGTACTTTCCCGTAGAAAGGTATAGCAGTAGCCAATGTAAGTCCCTCCGAAGTCCACAGCAGCTATTACCTTAGGCATGAACGCCATTATACCACCTGTAATAGACCATTATACCACCTGTAATTATACCACCTGTAATAGACCATTTAATGCGGCCGTGGGTTATTGTAGAACTTTTGTCCTCTTAGTCGTACATACCCAATGATTGTAAAAAGTGTACGTATTTTCTCTTTCTTTTTTCTTTTTTTTTGTCAGGTTGAGAATTTTAATCTAAATATTGATGTCATAAGACGAATTTCTTACCAAGTTGATGAGTTTAGTTTATTTCACTCCAATTGTATATAAATTGTGCCTGTTTTGGAGGGTAACATTTGAAATTGACACCCCAAGGAAAACCATTGTCAACCGACGCGTAAGCGGAGGTTGACAATGGTTTTCCGAGGGGTGTCAATTTCAAATGTTACCCTCCAAAACAGGCACCATTTATTTTATTATACTGAATGTTGTTATGGGTCAGAATAACCCTAAATGCCAGCAAAGATCAATAACACAATTTAAACTTAACAATAATTTATTTACAGTAATATATAATAAGTATATGAAACATAAAGTATAAACTTAGCAAGAATCTAAAAATACATACATCAGAGTGTCCGTTGCTGCACACAATGTCCCAGTGAAAATATATATCCCAGTTATATCTCAATAGTGCTTATACGACAAAGTATAGTATCTCTATGCATCGAATTGACAGGGTATTTATACAGTAATATAAATCTAGAATATTCTAGAAATTGTTAAAACATGATATTACTGGAACAATCTGGACATACACAAAATTTAAGAATGTTCTAGATAAAATGACCGAACATGTTAACCACTCTGGAATGTTCAAGAAACTTAATGTTACTAATTATATACATAATGAAACAATACACATCTCACAACACCTCCCCCCTTAGAAAGTTTGAATGTCAATGAAAAACTTAAATTGTAAAACATGTACATTAATACAAAATCTAGTATGTTTACGATACTCTTGACAAGGCATCTGCAATAACATTGTCTTTGCCTTTGATATGCTTAATTGTTATGTTGTATTCTTGTAACAACAAACTCCATCTAGTCAGTCTTTGATTCTTGTTTGACAATTTATGCAAAAATGTCAGGGGGTTGTGATCCGTATATACAAGAATTGGATGCAAAGTAAGATTCAGATAAACATCAAAATGCTGTAAGGCTAACAACAAAGCAAGGCATTCCTTTTCAATGGTGGAATAGTCAATACTTTTGTTGACATTTTGTAAGTTTCTTTGAAAAATAAGAAACAACTCTATCTACCTTATCACTATGTTCTTGAAACAAAGCTGCCCCGATTCCAACATCACTAGCATCAACAGTAAGCTTAAATTGCTTAGAAAAATCTGGAGTTGACAGAACTGGGTTGCTCATAAGGACAGATTTGATTTTATGAAAGGATTTTTCACAGTCCTTTGTCCATTCAAAGTTAACCCTCTTCTGTAAAAGATTTGTAAGTGGACTAACAACTGAGGAAAAATTTGGACAAAATTTTCTGTAAAACCCAGCCATGCCCAAAAACCTCATTAATTCTTTCTTGTTTGTAGGAATCGGGAACTTTGCAATAGCTTCCACTTTAGCCATAATGGGTGTAACATAACCTTGACCTACTTTATGACCTAAATACTCTACATAAGCATGACAAAATTCGCTCTTCTCAAGATTCACAGTTAAGTTTGCTTTAGCTAAAATGTCAAATAAATCACGCATGATTCGGAGATGTTCGTCCCATGTGTTGCTGTATATGACGACATCATCAATGTAGGCCTCGCATCCCTCAAGGTCTTGAATAAGGGAGTGAATCATCCTTTGGAATGTAGCCGGTGCGTTTTTCATGCCAAAAGGCATTACTTTATACTGGTAAAGTCCATCTGGTGTAGCAAAAGCAGATATTTCTTTTGCTCTTTCTGTTAACGGTACTTGCCAGTAGCCTTTCAACAGGTCAAATTTACTGACAAATTTCGCGTTTCCAATGTTGTCAATACAGTCATCGATTCTAGGTATTGGATATGAATCAGTTTTGGTAACAGAATTCACCTTTCTAAAGTCTGTACATAATCGGTACGAACCGTCCTGATTTGGTACAAGAATACACGGTGAGCTCCAATCACTTTTACTAGGTTCAACAATGTCATTGTCCAACATGTACTGCACTTCCCTTCTTAGGTACTGCAAATTTATTGGATTGAGACGGTACGGATGTTGTTTGATAGGCAGAACGTCGCCAACTATGACATCATGACAAGCTGCATTAGTTTTCTTTGGAACATCCGAAAAGATTTGTTGATACTTATTCATCAAGTTTTGAACTTCTTATTTTTGGTGAATGTTCAAATGTCCAAGTTTGGCATCAAAATCAGCCAAAATTTTTCAAGCGAACACTCTGATTACAATCTTTCTCATCTACACTCGTATCACTTTCAGTACAATTTTGAACAGTCTTAGCATTGGCTAAAGTGGAAACTGGTTTTACAGAATTTCGGTCACACCTTTCAAAATACTCTTTTAACATGTTAATGTGACAAACCCGTTTCTCTTTACGTCGACCTGGTGTCTTAACCACAGGCCTTCAGATCGCTTAGAAAAAAAATTGAGGTGTTGCAAAAAAAATAAAGGTATTGGAACATAGGGTACTACTTTCGCCATAAAATTCTTTTAAATAAAATGCTTCACAATATCTTTCTATCCATATCTATTTATACTTCACTCGTTCATCACTTTCCATACAATTTTGAACAGTTTTTTACTTAGCATTGGCTAAAGTAAAGGAAACTGGTTTTACAGAATTTCGAATATTTGCTCACTTGCATTCGAGCTCACACCTTTCAAAATACTCTTTGTTTTGAAAATCATATATAATGTTAATGTGACAATAATCAACATGTTTCTCTTAATTTTTCGCGAAAGGAATTATTACAGACTTAACGTTACAATCTGAAGTAAGAAATCTACTTTAAATTGTTGAAAGATTTTGCAAATACTATGCAACTCTTCGTGCACTTAAACATCACATGTGATCTTGCTTTTTGAATTGATTTCATAAGGGCCATAAAATCTGGATTTCAATAGAAAGTAGAATTTGAGAGCACTGTAAAAAATATTTTATTAGGATTGGGTAACCTGTGTAGGAACCTTTAGGTAAATGCCTGTGGTCTTAATACAAGACATCACTGATCTTGCTTTCAATTTCATAAGGGCCATAAAATCTGGCCTGTAAAGGATGACCAGGAATAGGTAAAAATACAAGAACCGTATCACCTGGTTTAAACACCCTATTTCTGGCATCTTTATCATACCACATTTTCATTTTCAACTGAGAACTCTTCAAATTTTCTTGTGCTAATTTACAAGCATTATAAAGTTTTTCTTTGAAATCAGACACATAATCTAAAAGATTAAGATCACTAGTCTCAGTCAGCCACTTTTCCTTCAACAATTTCAAAGGACCCCTAACCGTATGACCGAACACCAATTCAAAAGGACTGAACCCAAGAGACTCCTGGACTGCCTCTCGTGCAGCAAATAGTACAAGATGAACCCCTTCATCCCAGTCTTCCTCATACTGGTAACAATAGGTCTTCAGCATTGTTTTTAGGGTTTGATGAATTAATAGCGTTCTAGCGCATTTTGTAGCCCTGGGAGCACTCAGGATGATAAGCAGTTGATCTATATTTTGTCTTATACCCAACTCATGCATGACTTGCTTTTGTCTTTTGAACAACCCTTTGGAGACATAAAATCTGACCCAGTTGATTTATATTGTCTTATACCCAACTCATGCATGACTGAATTGACCCTTGATCCTTTGCCTTAGGTGCTCCTACAAAACTGAAAAACTTGGTTAGGGCCTTAACTATGCTCTTTGCCTTTATATTCCTTAGAGGTATGGCTTCAGGAAATCGAGTGGATGTACACATAATGGTAAGTAAATACTGGTTCCCATATCTAGTCCTAGGCAAAGGTCCTACACAATCCACCAACACTCGACTAAACGGTTCTTCAAAAGCTGGAATGGGTTGGAGAGGAGCAGATGGTATCTTCTGATTTGGTTTACCTACCATCTGACAGACATGGCATGACTTGCAAAACTTTGAAACATCCTTTCTTAACTTAGGCCAATAAAAATGACTCAAAATCCTATTATAAGTCTTATTGATACCTAAATGACCAGCCATAGGTGTATTGTGAGCTAAACTTATGACATCTCGACGATAAGCAGCTGGGACCACTATCTGGTGAACAACACACCACACTTCATCTCGGGAAGCGTCAGGGGGTCGCCATTTTCGCACAAGGATGCCATCTTTCATATAGAAGCATTCTCCAACTTTAGTAGCCTCTTCTGGTGGAAGTGCCCTCTTACTAAGTGGAATGATATCTGGGTCTTTATGTTGTTCAGAGAGTAAACGTTCTCGGCTGAGGATGTCCTTGCCTTGGCTAACTAGTGGATGAAACTCATCATCCTCACCACCAAATTTTGATAAAAGTTCTTTCTTCTCTTGCTTCTTTATATTGTGTGGTTCCATGCTTGTTTGAGTGCCATCAAGGTCAGGTAAGAAAGTGTCATTCAAATCAATATCAACAGAGGAATTCGTCTCGTCAAAGGCTTGAGTATGGTCTACCTCCATTTCTCGTCTTCTGGCCATCGCTCTAGTAACAGCACAGGCCGGATATATGTCATCATCTTCATCATCGCACATGACATTGGAAGTGATTTTTTCACAAACTATAGGATCAGGTACAACCTTCCCACCAGCTAAATCGTTGTCTAACAACAAAGAAATGCCTGGAACGGGAAGAGTAGGTCGAACACCTACAATAACAGGTCCAGTAACTAAATCTGACTTCAAACTAATTCTATGCAGGGGAACATCAATGACGCCTAGCTCCACACCCTGTAATAAAACTGATCCACCAGTAGAAGTCTGCTCAGACAAAGGAAGCACGCCCTCTAACAATAACGTCTGTGCAGCACCTGTATCTCTCAAAATCTGGACAGGTTTTATTTC